AGATACGGCTGGTAATGGCTGAAAAGCATCTGCCCTCTTGTTGTCAACGTTTGGATAAATCATTTTTAAAATCACAATACAATCAACAATGAATACATGAGCAATGTAAGAAGTTTAGTGTTTAAATGTGAGAATACACAGAGGCTGGAGCTCTACTGCCTCTGGTGTAAATTGCACCATTTAAAAGTACACGTGTATGCAGCCCTGCCTATGTTACGTGCTTCTGATGCTCCTGGTGTAAATTCTGGGTAACAATAAAGGATTACTCAAACATATGTGAATAAAAGAAAACACAACTCTGGGTATGTTTTTGATGAGGTAACAGCATTGTACCATTGCTTAAAGAAAGCAAGCACATTCCTCTCTCCTTTCAGTTATCATTAAAGTTACCATGATGTTTTTTCCCCCAAAATTTTCAAGTCCTACTTCAGTCTAATGTGTTCTGTCTTGTCCATTCTGTCTCGTAGGTTTCATTTATTGTGTAGCATTTGACCCAGAGTGACCCAGGATGAGTTTAGCAGCTCTGAGTTTTCATTTTCTTGTATTACTCAAAAGGCCACATGTCCCACTTGGCCTCGCTGTCACAGACTATAGTGACGGATAGCAGAAACACTAACTGTCAGCGCTGGGTACTAAAGCCTTTCTTACTTGGTATTTAAAAGAAATTGTACTTCATTTATGTATTTTAGAATGACACTACTTCTACTTCTACTCTGGTGTAGACTTGGTTTATGAGGGATTACAGAGATAAGGTCAGATGGTAATATAAAAGAAAGTACAATATTTTAATGTTGAAAATGTCACTATATTGTCTAAAGAGTGTTTTATTATAGTATTGAGTCTATTAGTTTTGAAATCAAGTTTGAAATTTTATTATAGTGACACCATTTACCAGAGGTGGGACCAAGTTGTTGTTTTGCAAGTCTCAAGTAAGTCTCAAGTCTTTGACCTCAAGTCCGAGTCAAGTCCCAAGTCAAATACAGGCAAGTCCAAGTCTCGAGTCACTGGCCCATAAGTCCAAGTCAAGTCGAAGTCATCTGCTTTGAGCTTCAAGTCATGTCAAGTCTTTAAACCAAAATACGAAATATAGCTTAGATTTTAGCAATTTATATGAATTTTCAGCTACATTTTACGTAAAGTCATAGTATGTTTATATATGTTTATTTATATAAGAGTTGTAGAAATGCTATTTTTTTCTTCTTAAATGTCTTGACAAGAGGGTGAATTATTTTGGTCAGAATAGAAAGAATTAAGATTTTAAAATTTCCCACAAAAAGTGCGACTTATATATGTTTTTTCTTCTTCATTATGCATTTTTTTGCAGGTGTGGCTTATACTCCGGAGCAACTTATAGTCCAAAAAATACAGTAATATTATTTTGCAGTAATGGCCCTCAAACTTAATATTTTGCTTATCAAACAGAAACCATTTTAGATTTACTTTTTTTTATTTTTTATCTCAACTTAAAATTACTGATAGATCTTTTAGATAGCATTTTCTTGTTATGTCCCCTCTACAAACATACATACTCTTATATCTCCATTATGTATGCTGCAAGTCATTCCTCCAGCTCCTTCATGCGCTCCCATTACACGCGCAATGACTCAGATGCCCTCCCTTCCACGTGACGCTCGCACACATTCACTATTCGGCTGATATAGTTATGCATGAGGAGAAGGACCCTGCTATCTGACATGTGGTTTGGAATATGAATGAAAAGGAGCCTCCCTTTGGCGCCGTGCCTTGAATACAAATGTATGGAGATGTTTAAAGTACAGGGTTAATTAATGACTTTACTATAAAGAGGAGAGAGGATTAAAACAGGGCAGATAAATGACATGTATCTTTATGGTTAATTTCACAGCGATAAGGAAGACAGAATACATTACAGTTTAGATTAATGGGACATGTGGAAAGGTCTCTGGGCATGCACTTTGGAGATAGGGACGTGGAAATATTGGCTTTTGGAATAGTGTTTTTGAGGACCTCTACTGGGGACGTTTGACATTGCAGGTGTATGGATGGAAATTTTAAGATCTGGCAACATCCAGCCACCTATATACAGTATCTTCTTTTGCTTTATCTGGTGCTGGTCTGAGCAGAGATGTTGTGAAGCGATAGTTTTCAAGTTAACATCTATCTTTTACCTTTAATTCAGGAGAGATTGGCCTTTCCAGGGCTGGAATTATCCAAATAGTTCTAGTGAAGGTGTATGGCAGTAGCTGGTTTCACTGTGTGGAACCCGTCTGACCTCGCATTAGGATTCTTTTGCTCGATGGTAGGAGGGTGTTTTTTGTACTTTTTTAATTTAACAAATCGCTGCTATTTGGTCGTGACGTATGTAATGCACCGCTAACGGGGCTAAGCTTTTCCCAAATCTTTCCACTTGATAAAATTCACCAAACATTCTCTTTGTTCTGGCTTTAGATTCTCGATCTCGGGAATCGTTGCCAGCACAAAATGTATGCCTCTTCGCTGATTGGCTGGTGCCCAAACTCGCACTTCTGAGGTTTTTGCAAACCGTCTAGTGTATTCCGACTCCTGATCTAGTCGCTGGAGAGAAATGAAATTGAGTGGCTACTTCATTGGAGGCATTTGGATAATTTCAACCCTGTAATTGCCAGTTCCAGGGTTGCCAATACAGTAAAGGGTAACTTGAAAACTACCACCTCATGACATCACAAGGTGGAGCAAAGGGTTTTGAGCTTTGGATATGCAGACAGACTAATAATAAAGGATCAAATGCGTGAATGAAACAAAATAACTCGGAGTTTGTTTTTCATGAATAACTTTTCTGGTAGTGGGTCCATCAGATGCATTTCTCCATTGAGATGCTTTGTCTTGAATGTTTCACAGTATGACATTAAACCTTTCTATCTTCATGGAGACCAAATCAGACCAAGTTACAGGTCAGATCTATGGAGAGGCAACCCTGCTCACAGTCAGAATGTTGTTTTTCTAGGTATTTTTGAGCTATAAACCACCTGTAATTGAATAAATATAAGGTAGAGCTGTTTAATGTCAGGCTGTGGAACATTCTAGACAGAGCAAACCAACCAAAAAGCGACACAATGCACCTTTAAAGCTCACAACAGTCAATTCTCTGTATGTGTAGGATCTTTAAGTGCCCTATAATTAACCGGCAGTTTTGTTCATACATAAAACCTTTACATAAGCACTTGACACAGATAAACAGTGTCCCGCCCCTTCCCGCTGAGAGGACTTTAACATGCATCTCTCCATATGAAAAATGCATGGAGGATCAGAGCTCCGGAGCACCGCGCATACGTCTTTCTCTGTACTATTAATGTCAAATAAAAACACGGACGCAGTGTGAGGCATGTAGCTTTTAGAGATGTAGCTAAAAATATGTCCCCCACCAAAGCCACGCTACAGCAGCTCTGTACCCGGAGGAAATAAGACTCATTACTGTTTGAGAAGGAGCACAAGTCATTTTACAGCTCAGCAAAATGCAACTTTACAATGAGGAGCCGACTGGAATGACAATAGTTAGAATATATGGTTCTGTGCAGCAGGAGAAATGAATTATGGGAGGAGGAGTTTTTATGAAGTCGGAGAAGTCACTGAGTGTACAGTGTGTTATCTAATTGAAAAGTGTGCTTAAAAATATATCTTTGTTAAAGGTTCTGTATTGCACAAAGCTGACTCTTGTGAGCTTTAAATTGTGTTAGAATATTTGTTTGTCATCGCAAACATACCTTTTTTTCATTCACACGTCTGAGTAATCTTAAAATTTTACTCTGTCTACATTTCCTAAGCTCGTACTGGTCTGTTTCACTATAGCTGTTTTCAGGCCGGCCAAAACGGTGATGGGGAAACAAAGGGAGTTACCAGTGAAGGACTCGTGTTTGTACCACTTGATGCGTCATCGACAGAGGGTGTTGATTTGCCACCAAATAAAAACAAAGCCATACGAAAGCGGATGTCACAGTGAGGAAAATAACAATCCTGGATCACATCATCGACACCAGCGAGCGTTTGTTCTCAGACAAATCATTTTTTATTTGCGCAAAACTCTGCTACAACATCTGCTGTGGAGAAGGCGGCAACGACACCAAATCCAAAGATGTAACCTACCGGACGAAGGCAGATATAGCAAATATTTGGTCTCCTTCGCTGACCACTGCACAATGTTCTTGTCACTTGATTTCTCCACCATATTCCACAGACACATGTTTTATTTGTTTGTTTATTTTACCACTTGTGAACCAGATGAACCTGCTGACGTCTACTGTGTTGTCATGGTTGGCTTGGAAAAAACAAGTTTTTGTGGTTTCCATTGGGAACCAACTTTTCAGTTTTCAAATGCTCTGATTTTCGGTGTGAACGTCAGTCTGTTCGAAATTAGGTGCCAGAACTGGCCCTGGGACGGTTCTCTCTGAGCCTAAAAACACTACTTGTGATATCATTTAGTGGTAGTTTTCAAGTTAACAGCTACCTTTTACCTTTTCTTTAGCAGAGATGTCTGTGCTGAAATTATATAAATGATTTTAATCAAGGTGCATGGAGTTTAAAATACACAGTGGAGCACTTCCTGTATTACCACATGACATCAGAAGGTGGAACAGAGTGTTATCTGTCTGAGAGAAGAACTCAGTTTAAATATGCAATGTTTCTGTGCTCTCTACAGACTTTGTTCTCCAGTTTTATTTTCTTAATCAGTGATGCATGTAGGATTTGGCAGCATTGCATAGTCATTTTGATACAAATGAAAAAAGAGAAAAAAAAAAATCCACAACTCACTAGCTCGATGTGCAGCTACGTATCCATCAGAGGTGCTGAAACTGTGTCCCAGTGACGTTCACGGTGCTCACATTGGGCACCTGCCTGTTTCTTTTATTAAAACTGAGATGCAAATGTTATTTCAAATCCAAAGTCCAAAATTATAACATGATCCAAAGGTGTCAAAGATTCTAACTGTAAAGCAGACACAAGCACAATATGTCCTCTTTAACATTTTGTCTTGTTTTGTCCCATAGGGAATATTTCCTGCCAGTTACATCCACCTGAAGAAAGCCATCGTCACAAACAGAGGGTAAGTCCACTTTCTTTTTGTAAATGTTGTTTTGTAGCTTTGGTTATAGAACGTGTCAGTTCCAAAATGCACTAAACTAATCCTCATGTCGCAATCAAATTATAACTGCATTAATTCACTCTCCACACACAAAGGTCGAACACTGTTTCTGTAGTCGCCATGGCATACATTGAATGAAGAGAGGACTATTTTTGCCTAATTGGGCGCAGCAAACCCAATTAATCACACACCATAATAAAAAGTGAAGTGTCTTGCCCAATAACATAACAACTGGAACTTTCCTGGAACTGAACCACCAACCTCTGGCTTTTGGGGCAAACACTCAAACACTTAACTACTAGGCGACTGGGTATCATTAAGAAGTTGCCGATACGATACATATCATGATACAGTGAGCTTTCAATTCGATACGATATATTTCAAATTGATTCAATACGGTTCAATAAAAATAGGTTAAGGCTAAATCATGGCTGTGATACTAAAAGTTTTTTTTAAACCACTTCTTGTGCAAAGTTAATATGAAACAAACATTTTAATCATCAGAACTTAGATTTGGATGGTAATAATAAATTCTAAATAAGTAACAAAAAATATTGTGAGAAACAGGTGTCAAATAAGACATAATTATATAAATATTTATGTACAAGTCAAAATAAAACAGCAAAATTATTTAGTAAAATATCACCAAAAATACTCTTGGCGATATATCGATACAGCAGCCCATCAATACTGTATCATCACATTAAACGATACGATATGTTGATATTTCAGTATTTTTGCACGCCCCTATAGACCAATATTGCGCCTTGTTAAGATCATAGGTCAAGAATCAGACCTGGGTCCCTAGATGCTTTATGGACTTGCCCACTGGCCAATATTATACAGAATTGAAACATATGACTACTGATACTTTGCAGTGACATCATGCTGGGGGTGTCCTACATGTATTTCTAATGGTGGAAAGTTTAGGAGTTACCAGGAGGTTTTTTTTTCCAGCTAAGACAACTGGACAAAATTAAGCCCCTTTTGTCAGCAGAACATTTAGAAACTGTCATACATGCATTTGTGACCTCCAGATTGGATTATTGTAATGCACTTTATGTTGGTGTCAGCCAAAATGCACTTTGCTGTTTGCAACGGGTCCAAAACTCGGCGGCTCGACTTTTAACCGGACCTCGGAAACACAAGAGCATCTCACCTATTTTAGCTTCTCTCCAGTAACTCCCAGTGTGTTTTAGAGCTGATTTTAAAATTCTTTTACTTTAAGTGTTTGCAAGCCCTAGGCCCTCCTACCTCTCAGACTTGATCCACCCTTACGCCCCCTCTCACACTCTCAGGTCAGCAGACCAGCTCCAGCTCGCGATCCCAAAGACTAAACGTAGCTTTGTGGGGACTGTGCATTTTCTGTTCCTGCCCCCACGACTCTGGAATCGGCCGAGTCTGCACCTGTTTTAAAATCACTCCTAAAACTGTACATTTTTTCCACTGACTTTTAACAAGTGAGATGTACATTTCTTGTTGAGTATCTTATTGGTTTTTATGTTTTTTTGTAGTTGTATTGTGTTTGTACTGTGTTGTACAACGATTGTCCTTATCTATTCGATATTTGAGTACAGCACTTTGGCCAGCGGTAAAACTTTTAAAGTGCTTTATAAATAACGTTGGTATGGTACCATGGTGACACAATGCACGCAGTAGCAAATACAGTCACAAAAGTTTTAAGATCGTCTGAAAACTCAAGGGAAAGAAAATACAAAAAGGATTTAAACAACACATTTTCAGGAGAAAGTTTGATTTTCAACAAAAAGGCGAGAGTGACAAACTGAAAAACTGTGATGTTATTTTTATTGGGATTTGTTTAGCAGCACAAACCAACTCACACGTTGTCACTTCAATTACATCTGCTTTTTCTGGTCAGAGTGTGCTAAGGTCTAACTCACATAACACAACTTCAGACAGAGTTGTGCTTTCAGTTAGCTTCATACCATCAGTTTTAATCAAGATTTGTCATGAATGTTTACAATAATCATACTGTTTTGATCCATGCATGTATTTGCTTGGACCACCAGCAGCGAGAGATCCAGACACACATCCCCACATCTTTAGCCAAGATCAAGTTCAGAGTGTTCGTAGCGTCGTCAATTTGCCAAATTCAATACCAAAAGTTCAGTGCAAATGTTTTATTGCTAGCTTTTTCTTTGAGTAAATGCCATTTCAAAGGGTAGCTCCATGACATTTGCTGTAACGATCATTTTCTTTCTAAATAATGCACTAAAGTTATCCGTTCTTGATTCCTTTCGAAGTTCAAGATTGCACATTTAAATACATTTACATAATGATTGGAAATGCTTTGTGTCCCTTCTCCCCTCCTCAGATTAATCAGCGTTACACTGGCTCATTTGCATGTGACTTTTATAATTACAGGCAGCAAAAGTACATTAATTGGAAATGTTAAATAGTTGACTTTTTTTTAAGTGGACCACAGGGGCTCACTGTCTCATTGGAGAGTTTGAGACTGTGCGAAAATATTGACCAGGAAAGATACAGTAAGTGCTTAAAGGTGCAGTATGTAACTTTTTCTGGTAGAGGTTCTGCTGCTGCTTGTTTCCATGGCGATGTGTTCTTGCTTTGCCTCGAGTTTTCCACAGTTTATTTCCACAGCAGTAGTTTATTTTGAACAGTTTGCAGCAATGAGATTTGAAGCACTTTTCATAAACTTCAGAGGCCAGATCGGAGTATTGCTGTTACGGTATTACAAACATTAGCATGCTAACAGTGCACTTCCTGATTCTCTGAGGATTAAAAGTTTTATAGCTATTTAATTTTTACTCTTACACTAGTTTGATTTTGTTACAGGGGTTTTTATTGCCACAAAAATACCTAGAATAATCAGTGTTCTTACTGTGAGCAGGATCACCTCTCCACAGATCTGACTTGATACTCGGCCTGGTGTTTGCCACCTGTTCATCTCCATGGTGATAACAATCATAATCATAATATTGACAATAATAAATCTTTATTCATAAAGCACTTTTAAAAACAACGTTTACAAAGTGCTGTACAAGCCACAAAGGACTAATGATAAAAACAAATCAAGTAATTATAATAAATAAATAAAAAGAAATAGAATTAAAATAAATAAGGAATAAAATCAAGCTAAAACCAGTTAACGGTAGGCCAACCATAAAATAAAACTGAGTTTTAAGAAGTGATTTAAAAGATGATACTGATGGCGCGAGCCTTATCTCCTCGGGCAGGTCATTCCGAAGCCGAGGCGCCCGGACTGAAAAAGCTCCATCACCCTCAGTCCGGAGCCTGGACCTGCCTGAGGATCTAAAGCTGCGGGAGGCTCGTACGGGGTGATAGATTAATGTACTGTGAAACACTACAGGCAAAGTGATCATATCTCCATGGAGATGAGAAAGTGCCAGATCTTCCAGCATATGAAATTCCATAGTGCACTTTAATTGTTTGGACCTTACAGTGTTTCGTAAGATTTTCAAATGAGTCTTAGTGGTTGAACACACTACCACCATCAACATAATCTTATACTGAATTGATAATGTATTTAATGTTTAATACAATATGCTCTGCCTGACCAGTGCACGTCTAACTAATATAGGAATACCATGTTTTGCTATTACACTACTACGTATTGTATAATAGACACTCGGGGTGTAACAGTACATGTGTTTGTACCGGACGGGTTTGGTACAGGACATTCGGTTCGGTGCAGGGCTGTGCACGAGTGGATTCGTGCAATTTGTGTGTGTTTACATTCCGCCACTATATGTGTAGTTATGTGGAAGGCTCAGCTCTTAAATATTCATGAGGGAAGTTGTCTAAATAAATTGGGGTGGCAGTGTTTCCCACAGCGCTTTATAGTTAGGACGACCGCCTTGACAACAACAGCTCCCTGCCTTTACTACGTCCCTCCCAACCACCTGAATCCTCGCAAAACTACAAAACTACCACGCCCCGGTCCTCATTTTCACATTTCGCCGGCACAAAATCTCTGCTCCCCCCCATACCCACGACCCACGTCCCTAGCGAAAGTGTATTTTCAACTGCTGGGGATATTGCAAGTTGGTTTTTCTGGCCATAAATATGAACATTGAGTAAACCTTCACTCTGTTATAAAGTTTTGTTTACTGTTTACAAGGAATTATTTTTTGTTAATATTTCACACATTTGTTGCTTATTTGAAAACAGTGTATTTAATTTATTAGTATTACCAAGCAGCACTTTGCATTTATTTTATTTTCCCTTTTGTATAATGTTAAAACAGATTGTTGGTTTAATAAACACACAAGTGGTTTTGCATTTTGTTCCCTGAAAATTAACCAAACTATGACCTTGTACAAGCCGTGATTTTTGTGTAGGGTTATAGACACGATCTAAATTCATTACTGTTTGCATGGAGACGCATAGTTCCCTTTACTATGACAGGTGTTGTTATATTTAGCACAAGGTCCGTCCTGTTTTGCTCACAGTCGGGCTCCATTATCATCACGGTGACCTTTGACCCTGGATTCATCCTCGCGTACGGACTTTGATGTTTCTTATTGGAGACACCATGTTTGTGTGTGTTCCTGAGACAAACAAACAAAGAGCCACTTAGAGAAGAGAGCGAGAGAGAAAGAGGGCATCCCTGGGCTATTTTAGACCTTCCATCCTCCATATGATTCCTCTGTGTGGAGTTTGCACACACATAATCATGTTTAGTGAGGTTTGAGGAGAAGTCCTTTAGGCCTATTCACTGTAGAGTACAACATGTCCTGGTCTGTATTTGTTTTTGTTTACATGTATGCATACATAAATCCAGTGGAACTCGCTGGTACATTGCATGCTATTGAAGATCTGCAGTAACATCACGCTGGGATTTTTCTGCCTGTACATGACCTACTCAGCCGCAGCAGTGGAAAGTAAAGAAGTACAAAACACTCGAGCACAAATTTGAGGTATCTGTACTTTACGTAAGTCAATTTTACAGTGGTTAC